CCGGAGCCAGAGACCTTAGAGCTTTAGCTCCGTTTGTCTTTTTACATATGGATTTTCGTTTGGGGTTAGAGGTGACGCTATTGTTGGGCTAATAAATTCATCATTTGTAGCACCAACAATTTCAGTGACGTGCTCATGCCAGCGTAATATTTCTTCCTCTGTGGATGCCGTTTAATCTTAATAAGTTAGTCATTCTTTTGTTAGCTAGTTTTCTTGTTATGCTGCATAGCCCGCTCATGTCATGGCTTTCTGCAGATTTTTCTGCTGGGAGTGATAAGTTGATAATCCATTGTCGCTTGTCTTTAGATATATTCGTAGCTCATATTTCGCTGACTTGATGGTATTTAAATTATAAAATTTTCCTGTTGAATCCATGCATTCTTTCTGAGGATCGCTAGCTTTAGTTTCAAAATGCCGATTAGAAGATGATGATCACTAGCAATGTCAGCTCCTCTTTTAGTTTTAAGTCTAATACGGATGATCTCCATTTCTGAGATATTATAATGTGATCTATTTGATTGCTTGTTGCTTGATCTGGCGATGTCCAAGTGGCTTTGTGAATGTTTTTATGTGGAACTATAGTACCACCAATAACAAGTTGGTTATATATAATATAAATAAAAATCAAACAGAAGTTCTCCGTTGTTACTTATTTGGCCTAGACCATGTTCATCCCATAACATTCTTTTTTTCCAACTTTGTGTTATCATTCCCTACTTTTGCATTGAAATCCCTGCTTAATAAAATTATATTAGGCGTGCATATATTTAAAAAGGATGACGAAAGCTGTTCGTAGAAACGTTCGTTTTCTTCAGTATCTCGTATTCTTACAACGCAAATATTATTTAGTTATCTATATCATATTCATTGAATATGTGGTGATTAAGTTTGCATGCAGAGTTAATGCAGCTTGACTTGGAACTGTTGGTATAAATGTCTAAGGGAATTAAGCTCTTCTTAATGTAAAAGAAGAAGGAAAACTGGAATATGAAGAGAATAGAAAACGTGTAGTATCTGAAAGTATAAATAAGATATTTTATTTTTATATCAAATAAAATAATATAGTGAATTCGTAAATTAATGATCTTCGTTTTATTGTTAGCACCCGGTCTATACAAAATAATTTGTACCGATTCAAAAATGAACTTTTTCACGCCTGATCTGTTAAATCTTCGCTTCAGCAACGTTGTAGCGAAATAGTCAATTATTTAAGAATTTAGCGAGACACTTTCTTACGTTACGTATAACTAAAACGACTTGGTTGTGGTGGGAACGATATAAAAATCATTTCCGTGGGCGTTAGACGCAATTTTTGTGTTTTGTTTGGCTGTATCGAAAATGCTTCTGCATAGGGGAAGCATCGTAGTGGAGGTTAGTGAACTTTAGCATCGGTGCACTTTGTATTTAATATCGGATTGCACTAATTATACAGTAGGTTACGTAACCATTAATTATATTTATTTTTTTGCTCACCCAGTGTACTCCATGAATGGTAATTTACATTCTGTTTTTCTCTGTATATTTGACTAAATTACATCTCTGATTTATGTAAGAGCATCACTCTGTAACAACCAGTGCAGTTCCAATCCTCTGGATGAAGATTCCTCTCCGACATAGTTTTTTTATATTGCTCCAATCCATGTTGCTTTTGTCTCCCCTTTTCTCTTCTCTCTGGTGGTGTCTATTTTACAATTTTATCAAGTATTTGGTTCTCACTCATTATTTCTACATACCCATACCGTACCAGTTGTCTTCCCTGTATATTAGATATCTATAATCGTTTGCACACATGCATGATTTCTATCATCTTTTTGTTCTATGCTCTCTCAATTTTTTTTATAGGAAGTGTGTTTGGGTCATAGTATTGAGTTTAGATGACTTTTCCTTGATTTCGCTTTCTGTTCACCCTGTATAATCTAGTTGTCTATGGTCTATTTACTGCATGTCTCTATTTCTATTTTTTAGTGCTTGATCTGTATACGCTTAATAATTAATAGCACATCGATATCTGTTACCGTTTATGAGTTACGGGGTGTTTCTCAAAAATATGCATTTTTACCAAATCGCATGAAAACATTTCCAAAGCACTTTTTTAAGTAGAATTTAATGGTTTAAGTATAATTTTTTTAAAGTTAATAATTTAAGAGTTATCAACTTAAAATTACCTTTCTAAAATATAGCACACTTGATATTTTGTTATAATCCCCTTCGAAATACAGAATTTTTAAAAGTTCACCACTTTTAACTAGTAGGCGTTGGATCCCTTATTGATGATCTGCCCCTAATGGAACTCGAAAACATATTTTTCCAGCAAGCCGAGGCACCGCCTCAGAACTGAAGTTATCAGCACATTTTGCAGGCAATTTCGAGAGTAATTGAATAGCTAACCAAGATCCCAGCCGTTGGCCGTAGAGACTACCGGACTTAGTGCCTGTTATCCTTAGTTGATTTTATATCTTTGCGGAAGAATAAAGGTTCTTATTTTAAAATTGCCCGTATAATCTAAACAAGAATTAGAAGTACTTAGCGGTTAGGCGAGGGTATCTTTCACCCTCACTGAGTTATTGAATTCCGCGAGAAATGTTCAAGAACGGTCCCGTCTGTCCATAACAGAAAACGGTCGACATGTCGAACACCTGTAGCAAAATCTCATGTCTTGGTTGGCTATTAATGTTTATTGTTATTAGATATAATTTAAATATGTTGATATTGTTAAATCTAGTTTAATTTTTTATAAAATTCTGCATCTCTCATTGTAAATATTATTTTCGTTTTAATTGTTGCTCACAGCTAGAATTTTTTTGCATTACAGCCAGCGTCGTTCAGCTTACTTATTCAAAGTGGGTGAATTTTAAAAACTATATCTCGAAGAGGAATCGAGCAAAATACGAAGTATGCTTTTTTTTTTGGAAAGGTAATTTTAAGTTCTTTTCAACTAATTAAAAATATACAGGGTTTTCCATATAAAAAATTAAATTTTTTGTTGATAATTTTTAAATTATTAACTTTATAAAAATTATACTTAAACCATTAAATTCTACGCAAAAAGGTGCTTTGGAAATGTTTTCACAAAAATACAAAATTTTCCATAGCAAAAAAGTTATAGCGATTTTTTAAAAATGCACATTTTTTAAAAACACCCCGTAACTCCGAAACGGTAACGATATCGATGTGCGGCTTTAACCATCATGTTTTTAATAAAAATTGAGCTCCAGACACCACTATTAGTTTTCGTCTATCTCCTATAGAAAAGGGTGTTTCCTTTTAAAAGCGTCCAATTTGACCCACCCTGTACATATACAGGGTGTCCCAGAAATAAGTGCAAGTATTTTAACTGGTAGTATAGTTCAACCCCAAAAACACCCTTATGAGGTTTTTTTCGCAAAAAAAAAGTTTGAAAATTCGAAATCTTTTTTTTGGAAATTTAGTAAAATAACTCCGTTATTTTGGACCTACTATTTGAAAAACGATAAAGAGAAAATATTTTTCTTTCAAGGAAAATCTTTGATTTTTCTCGGTCGTAAGTTCTGAGAAATTTCTACGAGTGTCTTAGACCGTTAGAGGATTCCCATTTCAGGCTACGCATGGATTCTTGAGTTCCGCTTTGAGTTGGTAACCACTTAGTAGGACGGTTTTAGTCAGTGGGGTGGTTGCTCCTTTTCTAGCTAGATCGTGTGCTTTTTCATTGCTTTCTAACCCTTGGTGGGAGATGGTACCCAGAGTAAGAGGGCTTTATTATCTTTGCCTAATGTGTTTAGCTTCTCTAGGCATTCTTTGACAAGCTTCGAATTGATGTTTAGAGAGTATTTAGTTTACGGCCCTAATACTCCTATCCCTGTCTCTGCTTTGGTTTTGGAAGCATCAGTATACCACGTTATGCTATGGTCTTTTACCAGCTGAAGAAACGTTTCACTCTTCCAATCCTTTTTAGAGCTCAATGCTACAGTGAGGTGTTTCTCAAAGTTGTACATTCTTGGCATGTCATCAACTGGGAGTTGGAGGAGTGGAATTTTCCTTTTGAGGGTATTCGAAACTCCTGAGCTGACAATTCCCTCAGTACTATTTCTGTCAATGCCCATTCTAATCATTGTCGCATTGGCATATCTACCGACGACAATGTGCAGAGTTAGGTCTCGAATAACCTCCATTGCTGCTGTTAGGTATGTTCTCATAGCTCCTGTGATGCAGATGCATGCCAGTATCTGAACTTTGCACAGGTGTTTCCTTGCTGTAAGTTGTTCTAGTTTCGTGTACCAAGCAACTGCTCCATAGGAAGTCATGAGTTTTACTATCATGATATGCATCCAGAGCAAAATGTTACCTATTTCCCGCCTGTCTTCTGCATATCATTAGACTCGTTTTGGCTTTGCTGGTAATGTTCTTAATATGCCTGTTCCATAGAAGTTTACGAACTTTTCTATAGAAGTTTTTTTGTCCAGGATTATTTCTAGATATTTCATTTGCTGTGATATTTCTTTTCGATCTCGACGGATTCTCTTCAAGTTTTTTAGACTTCGCTTTCTGGTGAATGGTACTACCGCAGTTTTGTCTGAGTTGATGCTCAGCCCGAGAGTCCTGTAATATCTCTGAGTGATACAAAGTCCTCTTTGGATAATATCACACAGGGTACCTTTATGTTTCCTCCGAGCGATCACTTATATTTAATCCGAGTATTTGCAGCTCGCGACTTGGAATTGGAATTATCAGTGTCAGATTGGAGCTTCGGGTTTCACGAGCCACAAAAATCAGATTAGCATGGCGTGCAATAGGTAAATTCCACAAATTTAGACGGAATTTTTAGCATTTTAATAAAATAGGACCCTTGACTCATGCCCCACCACTGGATGATCCTAAAAGTCCATCCAAGGTGCTTTAAAAATTATTGTAATTTTTTTTCTTATCTTTTTCTTCTTTTCGTTTCTTGGCTTTTTCTCCATAAATTTTAGGATTTTCACTTTTTGTTAGTTGGTAATAAATTAATAGTTTTCTCATAAATTTAGGTGTGTGTCATAGTGCTCTTGGTGCGTCACTCCACATCTCAAGGGTACGATTACTCAACTGATGAGGAATATAGTCCAGAGTATGGAGCCGGTGCTGACTACGGCCATGAATATTATTCAGCTCCTGTAAAAGAGAAGAAAGAAGAAGGCAATTCTGTAGATTACGAAGGAGATCCTGACGCAGCTGAGTTTGAAAAGTTCTTTTTAACTCCTTTAGGTAGGTAAACCTTCTTTCTACATATATTATTTCTATATATTATTACTAGCGGAACTACTCTGTTCGAAAAATAATGATGTTATGGTACATCCTATTCGTTAGATAGCCAGTCGAGATACGATATTTATATGCGGAACTCTTTAGATATTCATTTATCTTATGTTAAGTAATAAGTAAGATTTTGACCTACATTGAGGCTCCGTTTATAAAAAAACTATGGACTCTGGTGCTCTGATTTAGGGTTTCCATACAAGTTTTTGGACATTAAGGACAAGTGAGCTCTGAAATCCGGTCAAAATCGTTGAAAAATAAGTTATGAATTTATTTATGTCTCTATGAGAGAACACCTGACAGAGAGAGATGTCTGTAATTTATAATTCACAGGTGAATTGGATTCTCTGTCATTTTTTGAATGCCTGATTATCTTCTTCTCTGGCTTGTTGAACAAACGGCGGACAGACTTTATTTTAATGGTAGTTGAGAAAGTGTTAAGAATACTGTCTTTATATGCTGCCTTTATACCGGGTCCGTTTTGAAAGTGGCTCACCTCTATAACTTTTTTATTTTCTCAGATAAAAAAAAAACAAGATTTGGCATGTTAATATATGACATAAATTAGAACTGATTGACGTATTCAACTGTTTTCAGTTACTTTCTGTTTCACCGGAAATGACTACAACTTTTGATTTTTAAATGGCACCCTCGGTATATTTCTACTTTATTTGATAGAAAATGACATTCTGAATAGAATGAGATATCGTATGTCAACTTTTTTTAATCAAGGAGCCTTGAAAAAATAGATTTGATCGTTTAATGGTTTTCGTGTCTTGTTCTGGTCGGTTAAAAGATGGCCAAATCGTATTTTTAATCATATTTCAATTTTTTCAAATGGAACACGAGTGGCTCATTAGCATATTTGGAAAAAACATTTTTTTACGAATAATTTGATATAACACACTTGGTATTTCGGGTCAAATTGTCGTTATGAACCTCATGTTACAATTTCAAATAAACCATATGCGAGAATGTCAAAAATTTTCTATCCAATAAAGTAGAAATATACGGAGTGTGTTATTTAAAAATCAAAAGTTGTAGTCATTTCCGGTGAAACAGGAAGTGACCAAAAACAATTTTGAATACGTTAATCCATCGTAATTTATGTTATATACTAACTACCAAATCTGATTATTTTATCTGAAAAAAATAAAAAAAGTTATAGGGGTGAGTCACTTTTGAGACGCACCCGGTATATATATACTGACTGAATATGTTTTGTCTTTGTGAACCAGATTTGCACTGCATATGTTACAAATGACATCAGAAATTTATTATTTTTTATTAGAAGAGAAAACTTAGAATTTTATTAGTTACTACAAACTTTCGTGTTGACATTATTAAATACTTAATTTTATTTCTAAATTTTAATATTGTTATACTGGGTATCAAAAAATAGCGTATCTAACTTCGTCGGGTGATTCTATAGATATGTGAAAACAGAAATTTTCTATGAACATCTTCCCTAAAATACTTTCCGAAAAAATTACAACCCTCCAATGTTAAATAAAAATAATATGTTTTGTTTATTTTTAAGAACATTGGCAAACCGTTTTTGTGAACGGTTTTCAAGATATTTGCGTTTAAAGGTTCCGATACATTGATTTAACCATTAGCGAAATCAGGAGATTAATCTATTTAAAATTTCTTTACATTTGATCATTTCACTAATACAAAAATCGATGTATTGTAATAAAGACAGATCTTTATCTGCCAACCCCGAGCTCAGAACTAGTTAAAGGCTCAATACTGTACAATGCCAAAAAAATGTACAATCATCTGCCTTTAAATACCTGGCGACCATCAGTCGCTTTCATTCTTTCCCGCATTTCGCAACGCTCTGAAATCATACTTACTGGAGAGAGATTACTGCTTACTGGTAAACGACTTTTTTGTTGATGTTTAGTCATGAATAATTTTGAATTTTAAAATTTTGATCACTCATACACTGGTTAAAAGTCTAGTATTTAATATATTATGACTCTTAAATGATAAGCCTTTTTTGTGTTCTGCAATCTCCATGTATTAATGTACTAATTTTAATGACGCAATTTTTTTTGAATTGTATGATTTGTATTGTATGATATTTTTTATTATTTGCATATTTTTTGTGCAATTGTTTGTTTTGTAAATGCTTTGTCGATGAAGGTATTTTGGCTTTTTGGACAGGGTGGCTCGAATACGACGCTCTACATTGGGATTTCGGAAACCGTAAGAGATACAGGATCGGTTAAATGGAGGCAAAGTTGCGCAATTTGATGCCCAATAAAATGTCGTATTGCATTTTGAAAAATTCCGAATACTTCCGAATATATTCGAAAAAAAAAACACGGAATTTTCAATTTTGTTTTCTATTGTTTCCTGGCTTTATTTGTTAAGATAACTTAAAACCAAAAACACATTTTCATGGCCACTTTTTCTGCACTATAACTCTGTGTGATTAAATATTGACTCTGACGTTTCAGCTTCTGGCGACCATCATCAACTTATTTTTTTTAAAAACGGACCTGATTTTTTTTAAATTTAATTAAATACTTTCATCACTCTTAAAACACTATATATACTCACCTTGATATTTGCCGATGTTTCGTACAGAAAATTCCATCACCAGAATATTTTATGCAAAAAAATAAAAAATAAAAATACAATACGGCATTTTATTGAGCATCAAATTGCCCAACTTTGCTTCCATTTAACCGATCCTGTATCTCTTACGGTTTCCGAAATCCCAATGATGAGCGTCGAATTCGAGCCACCCTGTACAATAAAGCGTTGTTTATAATATCTTGAAAACCGTTCACCTTTTCGAACTAAACGAAGAGCTCCTCTTTTATGTAAAAAATTTGTAGCTTTTTATAACATTTGTTGAAATTACTGTATCTGTAAGGATACAAGAAGTACCATCAGTCGTACTCTTTACCTTAATGGAAAGTACCATTTCAGAGTTGTTACGGAATTTTTCACAATCGCCATTCGCTTTGGCATTAAAATGTGTCGTAAATTTACTTTATTATTACAGTACCAATTTTCAGGAGAAACGGTTGACCCACCAAAGTTAGATACACTATTTTTGTTGTACTACAATTGTTACTGTCATAGATCCTCTTTTTGGATAGACTTATATACTCGTATTCATAAGGTGTACATAATCATAACAAAACAAAAACAAAAAATCACAATTTACATCAAAGAGAGCACCGGAAATAAAAGAATGACGAGATAGAGATGGGTACAAACAAAACTGAAATGACCATTCCTCCGCCTTGTTTCATTTCCGTTTCTAATGCATGAATATTAAAATAGTAAATAATAGTAGTAGTAGTAATAATTGTAGTAATAGTAAACTTCTTCCTCAGCCTTTTTATTCAATAAAAATAACATAATATATTTGCAGAGTTTGATTCGCCAGAGGAATCAGCATCTTCAGACCAAAAAAAGAAAGTTGCTAGTAAAAAACCAGTCAATCCCGATCCATTCCAGCACTTAAGGAAGGCGTTCTTCGAAAAGACAGCCGAGTCAGCTTCCGATCCTCAAAGAGCTGAGTATTACGATAATGATGAAAAGAAACAGCAAGCTGAGCAGAGCCAGATTAGGCCTGGTCCTCATTATATCAGCCATCAAATTCCTGTACCTGTGACTTTCTTCAAGGAAGATGATGGAGAGCAGGCTTCGAGTAAGGATGATGTCGAGACCATTCCTCCACCGTTGAAGAAAAAAGGAAAGGCACCTAAGAAAGTAATTATAGCCTAATACTACATAATACTGTTTAATAAGTAATTAATAAGATGGGAGTAAACTTGGTTTGAATTTATAACTGAAGTGAAAAGAAATAAATTAAAAACCAATAACTGTGTGAATCAGGGTTGCCACCTTTTGTATTTAAAAATTCGGGACTGCATTAGTGCAATCTTTTTTCTTAAATGTAAAATTTTATGTGGCCATCGGATTTTAAAACAATATTTTATGCCTTTTTGCGTTAATTTAAAAAAAAACTATTTGAAATTTTTAAATAATTATGTAAAAATAAAAATTAAAAGTTAAAAATAAAATTAGAAAACAATCAATTAAATCTAAAACAACTAGAACAAAACTTAAACATAGTCAAAAATTTCAACTGTATAATTGGCTTTATTAGTTTATTTAATTATTTTTAAATGAACATTTTTTGGCAAAATAAAACACTAATTCCCCACAATAAAATATTTTAAAATATAACATACTTAGTATACACAAGCATAAAAAGGCCTTAACCACTACAAGTGCGCTAATTTCCATTAAACACTTTACTTTTAACACTGGACGCGCGTTTCCTTAACCAGCTTAGCATCATCAGCAGATCATAAAAACTGATGGTTAGCGAAACGAGAGTCCAGTGTTAAAAGCAAAGTGTTTTGGTGTTTAGCGAAACGAGCGTCCAGTATTGCGGTGAATTAGTGTTTTGTTTTACTGTTGTAACACAACACCAAAGGTTCCGATACTATAATGAATTTTTTTATTTGTTTTGTTGCTGTAATAATAAAAGCCTTGTAATTTTTAATAAAATCCAAAAATTCCTATATGTGATATATTAAAATTAAGTGAGATTTGAAGTTTCGTTCTAATGAGCTTAACTGAACATCTATTTCTAGCGTCTGTCTACTTCTACATACGTGAAAATATATAAATAACAACCTTAAACGATGAAGGCATATAATTTACTCTAGTTTTAAAAATACTTCATTTTTTGAGGTTTTAAACTGTGATGTTTTACTATTATCAGAAAACATAAGTGTCTGTTTTCATAAAAAAAAAGGAGTAAACAGTTAGTGTAGTATAAAATATTTTTTTGAGTTTAATCAAAATACAAAAAGATTGCAGTACCTATTTATGAAAAATCCAACCAACTCTACTTTTTAAAGACAAAAACAATCTTTATCAAACGAGTAACAATGTTAAAATAATGGACAATAATTATTTATTGTTTATTTTTATTAACAATCTAATATTAATTTCATATCCTTTACTTTCTTAGTTCCATTTTTAGCCGATCATACCAATAGGTATGGTAGGCTATTAATTTCATTCAAAACCAGTTATTTGGGTCATAAATGTCCTAAATACAAACTATTTTCATGGTGTCTGTCTGTCTGTCTGTCTGTCTGTCCGTCTGTCCGTCTATCCGTCTGTCCGTCTGTCCGTCTGTCCGTCTGTCCGTCTGTCCGTCTGTCCGTCTGTCCGTCTGTCCGTCTGTCCGTCTGTCCGTCTGTCCGTCTGTCCGTCTGTCCGTCTGTCCGTCTGTCCGTCTGTCCGTCTGTCCGTCTGTCCGTCTGTCCGTCTGTCCGTCTGTCCGCCTGTCCGCCTGTCCGTCTGTCCGTCTGTCCGTCTGTCCGTCTGTCAGCCTGTCAGCCTGTCCGCCTGTCCGCCTGTCCGCCTGTCCGCCTGTCCGCCTGTCCGCCTGTCCGCCTGTCCGCCTGTCCGCCTGTCCGCCTGTCCGCCTGCCCGTCTGCCCGTCTGCCCGTCTGCCCGTCTGCCCGTCTGCCCGTCTGCCCGTCTGCCCGTCTGCCCGTCTGCCCGTCTGCCCGTCTGCCCGTCTGTCCGTCTGTCCGTCTGTCCGTCTGTCCGTCTGTCCGTCTGTCCGTCTGTCCGTCTGTCCGTCTGTCCGTCTGTCCGTCTGTCCGTCTGTCCGTCTGTCCGTCTGTCCGTCTGTCCGTCTGTCCGTCTGTCCGTCTGTCCGTCTGTCCGTCTGTCCGTCTGTCCGCCTGTCCGCCTGTCCGCCTGTCCGCCTGTCCGCCTGTCCGCCTGTCCGCCTGTCCGCCTGTCCGTCTGTCCGTGTGTCCGTGTGTCCGTGTGTCCGTGTGTCCGTGTGTCCGTGTGTCCGTGTGTCCGTGTGTCCGTGTGTCCGTGTGTCCGTGTGTCCGTGTGTCCGTCTGTCCGTGTGTCCGTGTGTCCGTGTGTCCGTGTGTCCGTGTGTCCGTGTGTCCGTCTGTCCGTCTGTCCGTCTGTCCGTCTGTAACACGATAACTCAAAAACCGCTAAACCGATTTTAACCAAATTTGGCACAAAAATATTATGGCACCCGAGAATCTGGCCATTAGCTTTTGGTGGGGGTGGAGGGTTGGTAAGGAGGTATGGAAGGGGGTTAAAAATTTTAAAAAGTCGTAACTCCAAAATTACAGTAGCTAGCGAAACGCGGTTTTCAAATTAAGATTAGGAATAATATTTGCAACAAAATTTGTAATAACATCAAAATCAGTCAAAGTCGCAGTTTTTGAGATATTAACATATTTTAGTATGGGCGGCTATACGTGCCTCCCGGCGCCAATTTTTTTTTCTAGATTTAGTTTTTTTTAATAATTACTTCGGCTTTTTTAATCTATTGAAAATGTTACTTTGTTTCTTTTTTTCTGGAGGTTTTTCTTAATATGTTTTTTCCACTGAACTTGTTCAAACTGTATATAAAATGTGTTCTCTCAGTCACATCAGCCTTAGATGACTATTCAGATTACAATTTGACTGACTCTGTCTCTGATTATCAAGTCTGCCGTAAATTTTGGCGAATGTTCTACTATGACTTTTTTTCTCCTTTTTCTGCCTTGTCTTATCCTAGAGATTTTTGGCCACTCATTGTTTTGTGGCCATTTTCGTGATTGGTTTTGCAACGCCGCAGAAGGGTTCGGGCCTAGAAATGGCATTGATTAGCATTATTTGGCCATTTCATCTGCTGTTTCGTTATCTAACCCTTGTCGCCTTCGTGCTCTTTTTGTGGCAATTCTTGTGGCTTTTGCAGCTCTGTAGAAGGGTTCTGGGCCTATGAATGGCATTGAATGGCCTTTCACCTGCCTTTTTGTTACCTTTGCGAACTTAATGCCCTTGTTCTTTACTTAGGCTAAACAAATCCACAGATTGGAGATTTATTACAAATTCGTTCTTTATTGTTTGTATCATAACTCAAGTTGAAGAAATTAAATTATGCATTAGAGCTGTTTCATATGAAAGTAACGTCAATATTTGGATGAAAATTGGTGTTTGGAAGCTTTTTGACATGAGAAATTTGATTTTGATGTCAATATGACTCCTAGTTGTAGAGGGCGCCACCTACATATTTTTTAACTTGTTTTAAGAGTAAAAACTTTTTGTCTGTACCTGTAGAAAACTACTGAGTGAAATATATCTTTTGGTAAAAATCGCTACGAGCAATGGTTCTCGAAATATTTGAAATCGAAATTATAAATACCTTCATCAATGATATAAATTAAACATGTTAACTAAATAATTATTAGACTGAAATCATAAATTTGAAATGGTTTTGTGCCAAAAGTTGAACTGTTTTCGAAGAAAAAATGATGATTAATTAAAAAAAAATAATAATAAAAAAAAGTTTCCGAATTTATCATTTCAGTCCTATCTACTCAGCATTTCTATTTTTGTCAATAATGACATGACATGTATTGACTATTCCATTCTAAATATCTTGGGAACGGTTGCTCGTAGCGATTTTTACCAAGACATTTTTTTCGTAAAAAGTTCCGGAAATGTATATTTTTTACTTAGTAGTTTTTTAACAGGTGCAGACAAAAAGTTATTACTCTTCAAAAGAGTTAAAACACATGTAGGTGGTGCCCTTTACATATACGAGTCATATTAACACCAAAATCAAATTTCCCATGTCAAAAAACTCCCAGACACCAATTTTCATCCAAATATTGACTTTACCTCAGAAATTATTTGGAAATAATCGAAATAAATTGAACTTCTACACCCTATATCTCCGAAACTAAGCATTGTAGGACATACATTTATATGAAGTTTTTTACTTATTTTTATCTGCAGAATATGCTTCCGTTATTCGGAATACAGTTGGGACCACCCTGTATATTTAAAATATCTGAATACAATTGAAGAACACTTGAGATTTTTTCGGATATGTCTTATGTAAACCGTTGACGTTCAATTAAACTGACATGACCTGAAGTCAAACTTCAAATTAATAATTACGAGCCCTAACAACTATATGTTGGGACAAGGTCTTTTTTTGCAATAAAAATAGTAATTTGTTAAAACGACTCAATTTATTTTGTTTATTATTCTAAATTCAAACATGATCTAGACAATTTTACTATATTTTTATAACTTTGCAAACAAATCACTTTTGATAATAGCTTATTTTGGCAAAATCAAGCCAAATTTGCTGACAACTATATATTGGGACAGCACAATAAGAAATTTGTTTAATACGGAGTTACATCACTTCTCGCCTTAACAACTGCCTGAACTCTTAAGGGCATTGTATTTACCAAAGATTGGCACATTTGAGGAGAAAAATATCCCAAATTTCCTGCAGTTTTGTCCGCAAATCAAAAATTGTTCGTTGAGGGTGGTTTCTTAAATATTTCTTCATTTTATGCCACACAGTTTCTATAACAATGAGGTCCGGAGTACTTGAAGGATGGGATAGAACTTTTATATTATTATTACCGAACCAATTTTTAGTTGATCTTGCTGAATGGCACGATGCTCCATCTTGTTGGAAAATATAGTCTTCGTTTGGAAACAATTCTTGAGCACTAGGCAAAAGTGAGGTCTCAAGAATATGTTGATATGTAGTAGTTTAGGCTTTCGCGGCCATCGTTTGAAGAATTTTGGTTTTTCGGGTTATTAGGCCGTCGTCGGTTAGAATTGCTTCCTAACGTTTCGCTAGCACGAGTGGCTAGCATCTTCAGAGGTGTGTTTGCTCCGATTGCTCACACTAGACTAGAGTCTAGTGTGAGCAATCGGAGCAAACACACCTCTGAAGATGCTAGCCACTCGTGCTAGCGAAACGTTAGGAAGCAATTCTAACCGACGACGGCCTAATAACCCGAAAAACCAAAATTCTTCAATATGTTGATATTTTTGGGCGTTAACAGTACCATCTATAAAATTTAATTTGCCCAAACCTCTTGCTGACATGCAACTCCAAACCATAATCCCCTTAGGAAATTTAACAACCCTTTTTAAGCAATCTTTATGAAAGGCTTCTGCTTTATTTCGTATTATTCGTTTTCGATGATCTCCCACGTAAACATAAAATTTAGACTCATCGCTAAATATGACCTTATTCCATTCATTTTGTGTCCACGATAATTTAGATTTTGCCCAATCCTAGCGATTTTTTATTTCTTAGCGATTATTTTTATTTGAATTTCTGTCAGTAGCGGTTTTTCTTTGGCTTAAATAAGAATTTGTATCAATAATCTTCAGGTAATTGATTATCCACACAAAATAAAGTTTACCTTGTAAAACCCCAGACCGCATTTGAGGATATATTTTCGGCAACATTCTCTTGATATATTTAAACCAGTTACAGTATTCCATTTAACTGTTACTTCGCGGGTAGAGTACTTGCAAATTTTTACTAAATTTCGTAAATCTCTCTGAGATACAACTTTTGGCCTTCCCGAACTTTTACCTCTAACGTCTACGTTGGCAGATTCGCCGTATTTTTTTATTATATTAAATACCGTGGTTTTTGGAATACTTAAATCATCAGAAATGTTTCGAATTGTTTTTCCCGTACTGTATTGACGATTGATAATTTCGCCTAGTTTGTGATTTGTAGCTTTTCCACGGACCACTACTTTGGATTAAATTAACAAAATTGAAAATTAAAAAAATTTAAATTTCTTACAGTAAATCTCACTACTCAAAGTATCGAGTCACTTACAAGCTGTCAATGATGAAATAAACAGTTTGCGACATTTGTGACGTTTATAGCAAAGCCGCCTATGATGATATTAATAATTTAAAAATACTTGTCCCAACATTTAGTTGTCAGCAAATTTGTCCTTTTATGAACAAAATCCGCTACTGTAAATATGGATTGATTTACAAATTCATAAAAATATTGTCAAGTTGTTTAGGATATATGGCTATGTTTATATTTGAAAAATTAAACATATATTTTTCAGTCATTTTGAAAAACCAGGGCAATAATTCCATAATATGACCTTGTCCCAACATATAGTTGTTAGGCTCGTACAACCCGGTCACAATTACTGAATGAGGTAAAACCAAAATACATTTATTATATATGGTTTTCCGCTTGTTTTTAATTTTTAATTATGTTATGTGTTCTAAAAAATCTGTATTTTTAAGCGTTGTTCTTAAATTTACTTGACATATATACCGTTTTTTATATTATTTATACTTTCTTTTTTTCTTTTTATAGTACAGAGTAACTGACGCCCGTCCTGGTTTTGACGGTTTCAAAGACTCCTACGACGCGTTTGACCTGCTGCGCCAAACTGAGGAACAAATCGACCAAACCAAACCCAAACCCAGATACTACAGTGGTAAAGACGTCGATTACAATACCGGTAAATCCTCATCTACAGTATCCCAAAACTATCCATCGGCCGCCGGTTACTTGGCAGCACTGAAAATCCCTACCACCACAGTTCACCCTGTAGAGAAATACAACCTTCACCCGGTTACTGTAGATTACGAAGCTCTACAAAGCAAATATCGCGAAGCCTTAGCTAGAGTCAATAAGAAACCCGAACCGAAATCGAAACCTAGAGATGGACAGGTACAATCTACTGAAGATGCTCCTGAAAACTGTAGAAAGATACATTCTCCTGAGCACGGTGACGGTATGAACTGCTTTGTATGTGAAGACGCTGCTAACAAAGCTAAATTTACTCAATGTTCCTATTCAGAGAGCGATGATCCAGTCAATAATTACTCTTCCAGCTCCATGAAGTACTCTGTACCATCAGAGGATTCTGGTAGATACAGGTATAAAAGATCTCCAGGAAGAAAAGGCTCTTATTCCGATGACCCATATTTTGAGATCTCAGAACGAAGCAAGAAATACTATGCCGATTTCGAAAAAGAACAAGAAGCTGCAGGAAGTGAAAGAGATAAAGATTTCCATTACAAACCCTATGGCCCCGATGATTATGAAAGCTACTCAGAAAGCCAGAGTTCTGAGCTTCTGAAGGTGCCAGGAGCTTGCCAGAAGGTCGAACGTGAAGGTGCCACTTGCACTGTGTGCAGAGATGAAAAAACTGGAGGTAACTTCGAACAATGCTCTTACACCTCCGCTCCTAAAGAACATAAATACGCTTACGTAGCCGAAAAGAAATACGATAGCGATGATGAACCTGAAGAAAGTAAAACAGTGACAAAGGAAAACAGTGGTGATGATGGTGAAAAAGAAGAATCTGGTGGAGAGGGAGAAGAAACTTCAGCTGGAGAATATGCTAGCGCAACTAAAAGCAAAGCCGTTGTAGAAGATATTCCTGAACTTGAAGCAGCAGGTACGAGTGTTGAAGAAACTGAAGCTGCTCCGGAATCTGAAGAAGATGACGAAGAAGAAGACGACGGAGAAGAATCAGATGATGGTAAGAAGAAGAAAAAAGAAGAGTCTGGTTACGATTATCCTTATTATAGCTATGACACCGCTAAAAATAGCAAAAACAAGCAACTTGTAGACGATAGTCCGTATAATATTCCGGAACATTTTGCTGAGAGTATAAAGAGTAATAGTAATCAAAGACCCGTGGAAGAAGAAGATGACGAAGAATCTTTTGATGAGTATCATTACAAGCTTTTCCCCGAGTTACATAAAACTTCTGAATCGAACAACGAAGAACAACATAGCGAGCCATCGTCCAAGAAACAAGAAGTAGAAGAAGTAAGTAAAAAACCTTGAAATACATTTCAAATTATAATTTGTTCGAATTATTTTAGGTTCTGGCTGAATTTGCTAAAAAAGACCGTACGAATTGTAAAAAAGCAGAAAAGAATGGAATGACCTGCTTCCTGTGCGTCGACAGTAACAAAGTTCAACACGAAGAGTGCATGTACATTGCCGAAAGCAAACCGAAAGCAACCCATCTAGCGTACCACGAGGTCCAGAGGCTTAAAGATCCCAAAAGGGCATCAGATGAGGAGGAACCTGAAGAGTCTAAAGTCCAACCTCAAACGGAACAACCTCTAGATACAGTGCTGCCTTTGGCCTCTGAGAAAACCAAGAAGAAGAGGTTCTTCAAGAAAGTTACCACTCCATTGCCGTTGGCTGATTTGAGTGGTGCAGGATCGGAATTGCATAAGTTTATAGTACCGTTAGATCAACCAAGACATAGGTACCTTTAAAAACTCTTTAATAGTATATTAATTTTTTTAAAGATATGTGTAAAAAGATTCGCCTGACAGTTTCCGGATATTACTGTTGATTGAAAGAATTGGGAAGATACGCAACCTAATGGGCAAATTTGTGACAAGACTGATTTGATTTCCCCTTACGTCTCAAGTGCTGTACGGTGGAGACACCCAATCGTTCTGCGGCCAACGCATAAAACATTTATTTTCCCTAATTCAACCACTCATAACTTACGCAGGACTACGGTACAGTATTCTTTATCCTCTGCGCTGTAAATGATATCAGCGCGCAGCGGCGCAGAGCTAAACTAAATCTCGGACAGGCTGACGGTAACGCCAGCTACATCTCGGACAGGTTTTGTGCCACGAAATCGCCTATAAGGTTGCGTATCTTATCTCTCTTATTTCTTCAATCAACGATATTACATTCTAGAAACTTCTCTTTTAGGAGTTTTTTAATGTGTAAAATTAAAAAAAATCATGTCAGTGTTAAAAGTATGTACTGACTATTTGTACTGGTTTGATGAATTATAATCTATCCAAAGAGTTAGGAAAGATTTCGACAGACGACAATCAAAATAAAAATAACAGAAAATACTATTTATCTATGAATTAAAATGACAGACACACTGTCACCGTCATGTATTCACTAACTGGACAGACTATAGTTAGATTTAGTGCATACTTTTAGGCTTTTCGTTTCTAGTTATTAATGTGTAAATGCAAAACCAAGACCAAGAATACCACAGTCTTGCTCTTGGCCTTGGACAATAACAAGTAGTCTTAGTCTTGCAGGGTCTAGTCTTGGTCTTGGTTTTGGCCTTGGTCTTGCTGCAAAGTCTACTGCTTTTACTAGAGGCCCTTTCTACAGGGTGGTCCGAACTGTATTCAGGATTCCTCGGCAGCATATTCTGTAGATAAAAATAAGTAAAAAAGTTCATATAAATGTATGTCCTAAAATGCTTAGTTTCGGAGATATAGGGTGTTGAAGTTTCATTCTTATTTCGAATTTATATAATATTCTTTTTTCGACTTTTTACTTTAAAAATTATTTATTTTTCGTCTGTACCTGTATAAAACTACTGAGTAAAAGATATACATTTACGACATTTTTTACGTAAGAAAAGTCTTTTGGTAAAAACCGCTAATGGTTCCCGAGATATTTGGAATCGATATTATCAATACCTGTCATCATACCTTATCAATACCTGTCATCATTGACATAAATTAAACATGTTGACTAAATAGTTATTAGACTGAAATCATAAATTTGAAATGTTTTTGTACCAAAATTCAACAGAAACTGTTTTATCATCATTTTTTCAAAAAAATATGACTAATTTAAAAAAATAAAAACTTTCCAAATTTATAATTTCAGTCAAATAACAATCTAGTTCTCAACATGTTTATTTTTTGTCAATAATGATAATGATATGTATTAACCAATTCCATTCTAAATATCTTGGGAAGGGTTGCTTGTAGCGATTGTTACTAAGATACATTTTTCACGTAAAAAATTACGGAAATGTATATTTTCCACTCAGTAGTTTTAGACAGGTACAGACGAAAAGTTATTACTCTTCAAAACAATTGAAACACATGTAGGTGGCGCCTCCTACCTACTAATATGACTCCTATTCATATTGACATCAAAATCAAATTTCTCATGTCAAAAAACTCCCAGACACCAATTTTCATCTAAATATTGATATTACATCACAAATTATTTGGAAAAAATCGAAATAAAAATGAAATTTATATGTATCTTCGAAACTAAGCAATTTAGGACTTATATACGAACTTTTTTACTTATTTTTATCTGCAGAATATGCTGCCGAAGTTCCCCGAATACAGTTCGGGTCACCCTATATATAGAAAATTCTTAAATAAACGACTTATTATGTCATCTAATGTAAATGAAACTTTAAACAAAGAAACAATCTTTTTCTGATGAAAATTTGTATTTTTAAAAATATTATATTGAAACAGCATTCGCATTGCTTCCAATAAAATTTTATGCAAAGTTGGGAAAATATTATTTTCAATAAATTAAGTAAATTAATTAATAAATTAATTAAATTAATTTTAAACAAGTAAAAAACTTTTTACATCACATTTATTTATTTGAATGGTTTCGATTATCATATATTCGCTGGCAATATTATTTAAATCATATATTCGTGGGCAATAGTTCCCTAGAAACTTTTTTTAATATTTTTTATTTCATAAATTATAGGGAGGTGGCATAAATAACTAAAAATTTCATTATTTTTTTAAATTTTTATCCATAAAACATGAGATGCAAATAAAATATGTGCGAAAAAATAGAAAATCGCAAAAGTGTTGCATGCTAGATTGCAGTCTCGCTTATCACTGTTTCTAGCCTTCGAAAAAGTTCTATGGGTATTTCTCCACTTGCAACTATAAGAAATCTACCAAATAAAATAGTTATTTTTTGTAAACACTGCTGGCGTTAATCCGATGGAGGCCAACTTGGCAACAGTGATTTACTAATAAACAAATTTGCCTAAAGGACAAAAAAATGCTTAACGTTTCGGGAAGTATGTCTGAAAAAGCGTATCTTCCCGTCGTCGGAATAAAAAATCCACAAAAAACAATGAAAAAAACTATTAAAAATCTCTAAATACAACTATTCATGAACATTTTAGTTATTTTTAACAGATACTATAAAAAAACTATAACAGGTCTATAAAAATCGTTGACTGTTCTGTTAATATGACATTAGGTATATTATCATTGCAAGGTGGCAAAATACCCATAGAACTTTTTTGAAGAGATGAATCCGCCACAGATGTTGAGATATTTTTTACTATTTCTAGTGGTATAATACAGTTTTTCTCAAAATATTACTTTTGTTTAAGGTTTCCCAGATCTAGCGAACCGGTAGCATCTGCCAGTGCTCCGGACTCTGAACGAATCGAATCGAAAAAATCAAACGCTGAACCTGAACCACCTCAAGAAATTGACGTAGGTGATGAAGAAGGTGCTTACAGCCACGAGACCAAACCAGTCTACAGTAAATTATTCGATACAACTTTGCCAAGGTACATGGTAGAAAAAACGGAATTCGAGAAGGATTTTGATGCCGACGCCGGGTTCTAACAAAATTAAATTACAGAGAAATTTGAGAATGAATGATGTGTGATGATTTATGTCGTTGCTTACAGAATGTCGATTTTAAAATATTTGTGTTTATTTCAAAATACTACTTGTAAGCAAGGAACAATGTTTTTAAAAGTTCAAATTTACTAAATATGGGGTAATCGCTGTCCCTACTTTATCCATAATATTGGAAATTACGATGTGTGATACAATTTAATTTCTAGTGTGAATAACTTTTCATTTAAAAGTGGTACGCTTTCTATATTATATAGGTCATAGTACTATGGTCTGTTATAATTTGTTGTTATATTTGTTAGATAAAATAAATAAACTAAATTATAAAACAAACTTGGCTATTTTCATCATCGCAATTGCCTTAAATGAACCAAAAAAAAGTAGATTAATATTATTGAAAGTATGTCGAGTTTTTTAATAAATATTTCTTGGTAAACTATACTTTCAGTAGGTACGTTAACTTGTTGTGGTAAATTTAGAAATTCTCTGATTAAAAAAAAAAACGAAAAAAGTGAAATAATGAAGTATTTGTTACCACAAGAAATGTGTTAGTAAGGTGTGTTAGCAAACATTCAGTTAAGATTGTTTTAAAAAAAGATATAAACTTTTTATGGTATTATTGCAAGCGTGAAATTGCATTTCATCACAATATTAAACTTTTAATACAATCTATGTTGATATCGCTCTGGTTTGTAAGTAAAATTCAAATTGGTAATTTATGTAACTGTTCATTTTTTTCCTTTTTTTTAATCGTCAAAAATGATGATTCAAAAAATGGTCTCACAGTGGCCTTTGAAGTTCCAACCGATAATAACTTGACTGAACGACATCTAAGGTAAAGTAGTCAATTACTGACCGCTTAAGCAGATGGTGCAACTTTGGTCCATTATTGTTTTTTTGTCGAAGCTGGTTGAAATTTGACATACCGGATGGTGCATCGTTGTTGGAAAAATAGGAAATCCCATGCAAAATTTCAAACTAAACTGTTCAAATATTGGCTCCCCTATTGATTTTACAGCAAAGTCGTAAATAGATTTTTTAAAGGTTTATGTATGGTAAATACACATGCCAAATTTGAACAATTTTGGACAAGCCGATTTTGAGTAATTTAAAAAAGATAGCAACTATTTTTAAATTAAAACCGTAATAGGTAACAATCAAGCACCAGTTAATGGTCAGGTTCACAAACTATGATTTTGTCATTGTCAAAAGTACCTAATTTAATTTTATTATTCAGGAGAAATTAACCAAACCATGACAGATACATTGTCTAAGCTATTTCCCGCATGGTACCATTTTATCATGCTCACTTTTTCTTTGTGTGTCTAACAATAAATTATTACTAATACTGAATATTAAAATTTTATTAAAATTAAGTTAGGTTTGAAAATGACGCTGACAACTAAAGTTATGTCGGTTTTGACTGGTGTTTGATTGTTAACTATTCAGTTTTAATTAAAAAATCGATTCAGTTTTTCCCAAATTACTCAAAATTGGCTTCTCCAAAATTGTTAAAACTTGGCATGTGTATTTACTAAACGTAGAGCTTAAAAACATTATTTACGACTTAGCTATAAAATCAATAGGGGAGCCAATATCTCGACAGTTCAAAATTTGCGTGGGATTTCCTATGTTTCCAACGATGATGCACCACCCGGTATATGTTCTATAAGTACTTTAAAGTGTTGCTTTTAATAAAAACATAGCATATTATAATTTTGCATTAAAAATTAAATATTAACGGATATTTTGAAAAAAGCAGTTAGAACCAACTGACCGGCAAGAAATTGAAGATATCTAATTAGAAACCATAAACCATAAGCGAAACCATTTATTGACCGGAGACAGTTAATGTGATGATGCAAAAAGATACTTATACAGGGTGTTTCAAAATTCCGTGGACATAGAACTACTTCGTATTTTTGGAATCAAAATAAGTTTATTGGACACAATTTACCTCTATACAAAATGCTTCGTTTGGCCATATAAAAGACCAAATAGTGACTATAAATATTCTCATATCAATTAAAAAATTAATAAAAAATAGAGTTTTTGAATGTGTGGTTTCATAGGCACTAACTATAATAACTGACTTGGTTTTACATGAAATTTTACAACTTTTTGTAGTGGATGAACCTTCGAGAGTTTTTTTTTCTCGAATAATATATCTTTCAATATCATATCAGTATATACCTACATAAGTAATTTTTCCAATCGTCAAATAAATAATGAAATAAAGTTGCCAATCAAAATTATAAAACAAAAATCGTAAACGTATACGGGTCAATACATTTAAAGCAGTCAAAATTAAAAAAATACCAAAAATAGTTGTACCAAAAACCCTTTCTTCCAATTTTGTACTGACTGGATAGCCATCAGTGACCGTTAGCGGTTATATAGACACTTGATTTTTAATAATCATTATTTTGCGTTTAATAAATAATAAAATTGCGCGATTTTGCTTTTTTTTCTTTTATTATAGGCTAAACTCTATACAATTCAAGAAGTTAGTGAGACTTCTTGAAATACCTTAGAATTTTGATGGTCGGTGAGCATGTCGAAATTAAAAAACTTTGACTAGCGATAATTCGTAAACTATGATGTATAATTATCAGATATACTTGCAATATAGGATTATAGTATAGTTTATTTTATAGATTATATTATAGTATATCCTCTTCATCAAAAATTGAGATTCTTGTATTATCCATTACAGGGAGCTGGAAAGTGCTTTGAGTAGTTTCGAGAAAAGGGTGATAATAAAAATTGCGGTAAACAAAATCTTTATAATTTTATGAAACACTATAATCACTTTATAATCGTCATATAGGATATTCGTTTAGTTATTTCTTATAACATACAGTGTGAGTCTTAAAAAAAATAAATGCATATATTTTCAGATCTCGATAAAAGAAACATATTTTTTACCCTTTTTCAAATAAGTCCAAAATAATCGAGTTAATTTGCTTTGAAAATTTTAAAAATCAAAAAAGGAATTAAGCTCAAATGTTGAGAATAACTGGATGTTTTCTGGATTTTCTTTCTTTTAAATATATGGAGGAAACCGTGGAAGGGTGTATACGGCAAATATGTATGTGTATACCCTCGATATGGACGAAGTAGTAGTGAGTGGATTGCAACACAACGATTCATAAAATGGTGGATCAACTGCAACTTACGGGAATATATTTTCGGGTGGGCATGCTGCCCTAACCTAACCTAAACTAACCTATCCCTCGATATGGACAGTGTATACCAGGGTGTATACCCTCGATATGGACGAAGTAGTAACAACTGGATTGCAACACAACGATCCACAAAATGGTCGATCAACTGCAACTTACGGGAATATATTTTCGGGTGGGCATGCTGCCCATAAATTGTGATCTTCCGCCGATGTGTGATCCGCCAATTCTTGAGGATTGTTGGTGGAAACGGCACTTAAGGTTAATAATTGGCAGGTGCCGGGAGTGATTACAGTGAAGGGAGAAATCATCTCTAAAGAGGCGTCCATCACGGTTTTTCTATCGAAAAGCTAAGTGAAAGACACCAACCTGATGAGCCTTATCCAGGCTCACAACTTCAATGTAAGGACATCGAGTTGGCGAGTCATCAACTGACGGGTCAAATCAAGAGGGAAGAGGGCTAAGAGAAACAAAGATTTATCCTCTATTATAGACTCGGGACAACACCGGTATCAGGTCTAAGGAGAGACCAAGTTAAAGGTGGAGAAAATGGAGACATATCATCCAGCCTTCACCTCACGGACACCTCAGCCAGAGATAAGCTCCTCGACTGTGAAGGGCACGGAGGGCCAAACCTAACCGTTGAATGGTGTATACCCTCGTAGGAGGTAGATAACCACTCCTCGCAAGAAAAATTTCTGTTCATAGGAGAATGGGAAATACCCTGTCCACTCTAAAGTATGAAATCCCCATGTATGATGAGTTATAACTCAAGAAAGGGGGACAAGACAGATCTTTAACTTCGCGGTGATTAAGCCCCCTCTACAGTCTACATTCTACATGTCTCCATATTATCAAGAAATTATGTTTTTAACTAATTTTTAAAAAATTCAAAATTTTAAAAACTGTTTTTGCGGAAAAAAACTTCGTATGCGTGTTTCTGAGGTTGAAATATACTACTGATAAAAATATTTGCACTTATTTAAGACTCACTCTGTATAAGTGGAAACCTGGCATTTTTTTACTTTATATCTGGTTTGTATAGCTTGGATAGGTACCTACCCAAGTTGTACCCATTTTGATCAGTAAGGGGGTTTGGCTATTTATATTTGTCTGAAATTTTATTAAATGAAAATATATTTTTTTAAATTTTTTATTAAATGCATTTTAAACATTTATTCTTTTCTAAAATATCTCTCTTTTTTTATCCGTAAGTACTTACGACTTACGAAAGAACTAATATGTATTTTGACCGAATAACTGAACTTCAACAAATAGTGGAGTAAATACAAATAAAACTATAAGATATTTTCCAATTACTTTATTTCTCTAAATATAAACTGCCTATAATTATATGAGTGAATGTGACAGGTTTTTTTCTTTAAATTTAAAATTACTTAAATACTCTATTTTTACCTCTTCTTTTTGTGACGTGTCATTATTTTTATAAGGGCAAGTACATATATGATTTACAGGGCCTAAACGGTTTCGGGCCTATCACATTTTTAAATACAATATAGTTACAGTTACGAATACCTTGAGAACAAAGCACAGTCTCAAAATATCTAATACTAATACTTTTATGTCAATCTTTTTTAAAACTTGGTTAGAAAAAATTATAAAACATCACGTTGGTAACATATAGAATTAACGACACTGTGCTTCATTCTTAAATGACAACCCTTTAAGGTAAAGGGTAGTTGCCTCTTTGGTATATTATTACACATTTTCAAGTAAAAAATATGAAAAATAAGTTAAAACATTAAGAAGTAATACTTTCGAGTTTGTTTTAAAATATCTCAAGTCAAAAAAGGACCGTTGGTTTACAAAATATCTATACAATTTTTTTCTCAAGAAATATTTAATATTTCTATATTCTGACTTACAGATATTA